CTGTGAGCCAAATTTGACAAACTGTGTATTCTATCCATATGATTCTGAGCATTTAATAAAGCCTTGTTTGAAGACATTGCGTTTTCAACATTTTTAGCTATCCGCATATTTGAAAAGTTAGCTGTATATGGGCAGATGCGCTCATTCAAGAGTCGTGATGGCATTTATAACCTTGCAAAACCCTCACGAAAATTTTAAAATCTACTAGTCGAGCCCAACCCCAGCAATGAGTACAGAGTCTGTATAATAACAAAACCATGTAATTAGTAGCACCAATGTCTCGAAGCATCTCATGTACTTTAGGTTTTTCTTTTGAAAGATGTTGAATGAATCGAAAAATAGCTTTTACAAGAGCATTTTCATTGGGCATATTTCACATTACATTGTCGAAATCAATGTGATTGGGAAACATTAAATGTGTTGCACGAAAAACTTGAAGCGTGGGAGGTCATAAAATAAGCATATTCGGTTCTTTAAAGCATTCATAAAATTTAACCCTTCCCTTCCTTTTTCATCCTTTTTCTCCAACAAATACACTTTCAGTATGCCAGTGTATTCGACTGCAAATCTTGTATTGTACTCTGGAAATGAAGAGCAGTTTGTAAAAGTCTCCAATGATCTTTGGGAAAGTATAGTCCCTGTCAATTACACCCAAGGTATATGCGAGCGATCGAACGAAAGGAGTCCCCGTGTTTCCTAACTGTGCAAGTAGATGTTATAGCTGTGTCTGTACTCGTTCCCAGTTTAGCGGCTTCCTCACCTGTTTCCGAGGGTGTAAAGCCTTCTCTTTCCTCGTTTTTGGCCTATTGCAAGCCAACTGAACAAGGGGTAACATGGCATGAATAAGCAAATTCAACACATCATTTCTCAACATTAGACATAGGGAGGTAAAAATGTATTGTATGCAAGCAGCCAATTGGTACAGACTGTGTATGGGAAAGATGCATTATGTCGCTTGGATGAAGAGGGAGAGGATGAGGATGAGGATGAGAAAGGAAGAGATGAGAAAGACGAAAGCTCTACTTGTTTAATTGAGGTAAAAGCTGTTGAATTGATTGAGCTGGATGAATTGGTTATCGGCGCTTTGAATAAGCATTCATACGAGTTTGCTCAAAAAGGTAAAACTGAATGGAATATACGAGAGAATGACTCTAAACCCGGTGTAAATAGACCAAGAGGCTTTGATCCAGCTCTTTCTCAAAGAACCCAAAGCAGTTATCCGTAGTTCCGGGCAATATCATTTCGAAAATGGGCTATCGTATGAAATTTTAATGACAAATCCTGTACAACAAGGCTATATCATCGCCAGTGACCGTACCAGAGTGCTAACTGTTGACATGTCTGATTCTCCAGTTGCAGATCCTGTATCAGCAGCATCGATGACATCTGCCTTCAGTTTGCTGAACTCTACTACAACACCTATTATTGCTGAACCGAAAGAGTTTCACGTCAGAATATTGCATAAGAAATGGCCTGAATCTCGCTTATACCCCTCTCCAAACAACATCAATGACGAAGAAAGCCGAGTGTATGTTGACTTGAGAGATTTAGCACAATGTGGTGTCTTTAGTGGCGAATGGGTACTTGTCAGTGGAAATGACCCTAAAAAGTCAAGATTATGTCGTGTATTCGGTGTGGATGACATTGTAGACCTTCAGTAAGCTCAAATAGATGACCAAACACGAATTTGTCACTGACTAATCATTAGAAGCACCGTCTATGTTCCTCCTGTATTGTACTTTAATCTTAATTTACCTCTTCCTCCTGCTCCCATGGACGATGTCAGGATTACAATTACAAAGGTGAACTCGCCTCCCGTTGATGGGCCCCCTGTTGCTCAAGCTGTCAGCATTGCTCGCATCGCATCACCTACATCCATGGATAAAGCTTTACAATCTGCTTTTCTTGAGTCATTAAAGCAATGGTTTGAAGCCAAGGAGCGTATTGTATGCAAAGGAGATGTTATCGCCATATGTTTGAATGAAGACAGTGCCCGTTTGAAGCCTCAAGACGATGATTTAAGCGCCCAGACAGCCTATATCAAGCCGACTAGTTTGGCTTATTTTAAAGTAACTCGACTTGATCAAGGCGAAAATGCTGATTCTGCTGTTCATCCCTCTTACTATGGCTCAGGTCGTCGTATTGTACCCAGTAAAACGCAAATGGTTCAAACAGGAGTTGAATATTCTCGTGTGCCTGCGGGTCCAATTTCTTGCTATTATGACTTTTCCAAGAAACTACCCCAAACAAGCTCAACATCAATAGCTTACAAGCAACTCCATGAGCTTGTATCTTCGTCACTTCATCCTCTTGGTCGTGATTTTGAATTATCTTGCAACGCACTATTCCATGGCCCACGAGGAGGAGGGAAAACAACACTAGTCAAGAAAGTAGTAGAGGATCTTGGTGTTCATTTGTTTGAATTTTCAGTTTATGATATTGTATCTGATACTGATGCCAAAACTGAAGTTCACTTGAGAGCGAAATTTGATAAGGCTGCAGCACTAGCTCCGTGCGTTGTCTTATTAAAGCACATGGAAGGATTGGCAAAGAAAAGTGCTGTTGTGGAGTCTGGGCAAGGTAAGTGAGACTGGTAGATACTTGCAGCCGCTATCTAATGCTCCTTTATTCCAAAAGAGCCATTGCTAGCTACTGTCCTTCAAGAGTGTATTCAGAGTGTGAATGCGGCACATGCAACTACGGGTTTTCCAGTCATGGTTATTGCTACTACGGGTGATATAGATGCCTTACCTTCAAGTGTTTTGTCGTGCTTCAGACATGAGATCTCAATCAGAGCCCCTGATGAGCAAGCTCGTTTGCAAATTTTGAACAATTTACTACACGACAGTCCATTGGCACCTGATATTTCTCTCTCTAATTTGGCTACTCAAACGGCTGCTCTAGTAGCAAAAGACCTTGTTGATCTGGTCGCCAGAGCCGGTGTTTTATCTCTACAACGTATTGATCGCTCCATGTAAGTAGAAGATTTCAAGCATGGTATCGTAAGGATTATAATTCATGTTGTTTGTATAAAGTCACCGCAAAGCTGATGAACCTGATGATGAAGGCTCTTTTGCATCTCTTTCAGATACCAGTGCTATTACTACTCAAGATATACAAGCAGCAGGCATTGTGCTAACAGCCGCTGATTTTGACTCTGCGTTAGGAGAGGCTAGAGCAAGCTATTCTGACTCTATTGGTGCACCAAAGGTAAGAGTCAGAAGCGGCGCTAATGACATACATAGCACTAAAATCTAGACCAGATTCCATCTGTTACTTGGGATGATGTAGGAGGCATGGCTCATGTGAAAGACGATATTCTTGATACCATACAATTACCATTAGAACATCCAGAGCTATTCGGTGCTGGTCTTAAAAAACGTAGTGGTATCCTTTTATATGGCCCTCCTGGAACTGGTAAAACTTTGCTGGCTAAAGCAATTGCTACGTCTTGCTCCCTTAATTTTTTCTCTGTCAAGGGTCCTGAGCTCTTAAACATGTACATTGGTGAATCAGAAGCTAATGTGCGTCGCGTGTTTCAACGCGCTCGTGATGCTAAGCCCTGTGTTATTTTCTTTGACGAGTTGGATTCTGTTGCTCCTAAGCGTGGCGAAAAGGGAGACTCTGGGGGCGTAATGGATCGCATTGTGAGTCAATTATTGGCCGAGTTGGATGGTATGGGAGAAGGTGGCGAAGAAGCTGGCGCTGGGGATGTGTTTGTCATTGGTGCTACAAACAGACCTGATCTGTTAGATCCTGCCTTATTACGTCCGGGAAGGTAAGTTAAAATACATTTTTTGATCAAGTATTCTGCTTTAACAAAAGTTCATTTCTAGATTTGATAAACTCCTGTATCTTGGTGTTAGCCAAGACCATGAGTCTCAACTAAGAATCATTGAGGCCTTGACCAGAAAGTATGTTGTTTAATCTTCTTTTAGAGGACTTTTACCTAATCTTGTTGTATAATAGATTCCGCCTTCACTCTGACTTGGATCTCCGTAAAGTGGCAGAACGTTGCCCCTTCCACTACACTGGTGCTGATTTCTATGCACTTTGCTCCGATGCAATGTTGAAAGCAATGACCCGTGTAGCAGATTCAATTGAAGTCAAAGTTAAAAAGTTGAATGAGGAAAATAGACCTGATCTTCCAAATCCTTTGACGGCTCAATACTATTTGTCTCATTTAGTAACTCCCGAAGAAATTGTTGTTCAGGCTGAGGAAGTTGATTTTGTAAAGGCATTGGAGGAACTTATTCCTAGTGTATCCGCGACAGAACTTGCCCATTATTCTAAAGTACGAGAAAAATTCGAAAAGGTTGACGACGGTGACAATGATCAAGATGAAGTTGCTCAAAATACTGATATGGTTGATGCTGAAATTGAACGTTCTATTTCGCAAGCTAAACAAAACGAGGAAGATCAGGTTAAAACTGCAATGAAAAGAAGAAAAGCAAAAGGGAAACAAAGGGCTACATAGTTGGAACGCTTTTATTTTTCATCAAAATTTAGATTCACACAAAAATGTAATTTTAGGAATAAACGATTTTATAGCGCTTTTTATCTATGATTATCTCTATCAAAGTTAGCATTTCTAATTGCTAATTACTTCTTACTAAAATAATATATGCAGATATTTCTGGTCAAGTTATGATTGACAGCAATGTATATATGTGGTTTGGTTTATGTTAATAAGTTTCTTCATAGCGAATGTGGACCCGTATAGCGACAAAACAAACTGCAGTAAAGATTATCAAGTTTCTTAATAATAACTTGGGTGTTTCATATTTATGAATCTGTAATACGAATCATTATAAAAGTGTGTATGTACACCGATATTTTCTTTTTGGGGTTTCTTGTCAAGTACGCACAGACTTTATACGAATCCTTTTACTATTACTTAAGATTCTAAATACATTTGTTAAATCTAACATATTTGCACACGACATCCTTAAAGAAATTTAGTGTCTACAACCACCACACATCACAATTAATAAAAAAAGTAGCATCTGCCCGTTTCGATCAGGCGACCTTTGGGTTATGAGCCCAACGCGCTGCCACTGCGCCAAGATGCTTTTTACAATTTGTTACGAGTGTAAATTTATTCTGTAATGCTAGTTAATTATTTGCACGTGATCTAAGTTTAAGCCTATGGAAATCATGTTCCTGAATCTGAAGTTGAATACTGAGAACGTCTCATCTTAGATATATATATGGAATTATGCTTCATACTTGAAATAAATCGAACTTTCTTACGTTTAAAATTCTGTCATATATAATTATTTGCTATTATATCGCTGAGATACTATACCATCCTAGTTATTCGACATAATATACACTTAAACAACAGCAAAACAGTCTAATTAGTCTCGGCATTGACCTGTTTACTGCAAGAACTTTCCAACACATCGCTACAAATTTCACAAACCCGCACCGCAGAGTATCAAGTTGTTACGTGCCGTGGGATAATTATAATCAAATTACCAAAAAAGTAAGCACGTGACATGAGAAAATACACAAGTAGTAGTCTGTCCAAGAACTCGGTACCTGAGATATTAAAAAGTAGAAGTTGATCTTCAAATAAACATTGAGGTTTTCTTTCGTAATTTGCTTTTATTAATTGTTGCCTATTCCAATTGAAGAACAGATCAGAAACACAGTATACCCTCAGGAACAATTACTCAAAATCAAATACGAATATCCTTTGTACAAACATTCTGTCTCGGCAAATTCGAATATAGAAGAACAAACTGCTTCATAAAAAAAATCAACCCATATCACATCTTACCAGCACAAACGTATCAAATATTATTATTTCAAATGTACAATACATAATTAGTAAATATACACTGAGCAAAAGCACGTGATATATATTATTTAACGTTTGGATGAGTATTGAGTAAGAGATATGTTTCAAGAGACTTTGATTATTAGGATAATGATGATATTAATTAATTAATTAATTAAGTAATAAAAATAAACTAATTGAAGAATGTGTTGTAATGTGACAAATTAATCTATCAATTATAAAATTGGTTGTCAACGTAGAACAAACTCATTGTTTTGTGCCCATAAAATACCATGGTTATCACTCTTTCAATTCAGTTATCATGGCAACCGTTCCTGACCGGATCTAAGGTTAAATGGCATCTACTATTCTATCTATTACATAAAAGTAATCAATAGAATATTATTATTCCTTTTTTATCATATACAATCATCTGCTGTGCCCCTTCAAGACTTGGCACAACAGTGACTCTATTCACTAACATTTGACAGCAGATTTCACGTTATAATTTGATCAACCACCTCCCTATAGTGCTAAAAACTGATATTTCTGAAAGATCAAATTAGTAAAATACTTGACAAGTCGATGCTGCATTTCGCAGGGATGTCTAGGGGATAGCCGAATGCGATATCGAATTTGATAAGTATATAAAGAAATGGATACGAGATAGAATTATTATTATTACTATTCATAAATCAAAACGCATGAACATCGTGTTTTTTTGTTACAGTTTGTTTAGATGATGTTCACGATAGCTATCGCGGAGTAATAACTTGAATGGAATAAGCTTGTTTTGTCGAAATATTATCTTTCATGAATCCGCAATTTAAAGGAAAAAAGTAAAATTTATTAAAACAAATTCAGCATTACTTATGCGTTTTTTAGATCATCCATACGTTTCTGAAGGTCTTCATAAGACTTGGTATCTCTAAAAACATCGCTAACTTTGCCCATCAAACCCTTAAGAATTAGACGAGACTGATAACGCCAGTCATTACAAACAGGTGCACCATCTGCGGTTTTGTCTCCCAAGTTTTCATACATATCGACAGTCTCCATCGCAACAGTAGCGACATTATCAAACACAGCTTCCTCTGTTTCAATACGAGGATCATGCATAACCGATCTATAAGCTTTAACAGATGTTTCAAGAGCATCCACATAGCGATTCTGCCATAAGTAAAATTTGGAACAAATCATCCAAATATCAGGAGAGTTGGTGATGCGATTTAAAATGACATCTTCCAATAATCTTTGTACTTGTTGACAGAGACGGTTACCATCACGGTCCTGGGGATCTTTCCAATTCTGAATAACGCTCTCGACAATCATACGTAAGACACGAATATTGACAGCTTCGTCACGAACCTTGTCCCAACGAAGCTCAACCACACGCTGCATAGCGTAAATGGCATCAGCAAACTGTCCAACATCAACGGAGACAAACATGAGATTTTGCCACATTTTCCAACTATCATGTTTAATTTTTGTTGCTCGCTTCAAAGCCAAAAAGGCATCCGTTTTTTTTTCCATTCTAATGTAGATGCTAGCAAGATTGTTCCAAGCTTCAGGCTGTTCATCATCCAAAGAAACCACACGTTGAAAAGCACGAGCTGCAACTTCCCAGTTTTCCGCACACATGGCAGCACAACCAAGGATATACCAGGAACTTTCAAAGATAGGGTTGATGGCAAGAGCCTTCTGATAGTACTCGATAGCGGAATCATAATTTTTAAGCTTGTATTCATAGGAGCCTAAACGTCGCATAGCACCAGCATAACTGTGATTAGATATTTCCCAAGATTTGAGCCAATGTGCTGGCTCGACCTCAAGATCGCCCAAGATGCACCAGTATTTAGCAGAATCAGGGTTTTTTTCCATTAAACGCATCAATACTTTTTTCGCCTCTTGAGACTGTTCCATCATTTGATAGCAAGAGACGACGTCCTCCCACATTTCAAGACGTTCAAATATTTCAAGAGCAGAGCGCAAAACACCAAGAGAAGCAAATCGATAAGCCAGCTCACGCTCCATTTCCCATTTACTAGGCAATAAAATGTCGTAGAAATAAGCAAGACGCTCCTCAACACCAGAATCTTCTACCTTGATTTGGTCAACAAGTGCTTGCAATTGTAATGCTGAACGCTCAATTGTTCGAGTATTTTTGAATTCAAAACGAGAACGCAATAATAAAGCCATTGTATGAACCATCCAATTGTTGGCATTCTCTAGAACACGAGTGACAAAAGGCACCATCTGTTCAGTAGTGATACCATCATCAGGATTTGTGTTCTTGACGTTTAGACAAAAAGCAAGCAGTAAACATTGATCGATCACATTCAGGTTTCCATGACGCTTATCATTTTCAATATTGTTCTTTTCATTTTCAGCAAAGGAAATGCGTTCCAAAAGAGTGTCATCATTCAAATCCAACGTTTCGGGTCTGGCAAGTTCTTTACGCTCTCCGTCGCTAGCTTTCTTCTTGCTCTCGGCTAAAACAACAAGTTGGGTGATGTCAGATCTTTGGAACTTGGTTCGGCGGCCCAGTGCACCAGTTAATGACCAAGTAAATCCTGAGGTCTTTTGTGCTGATTCCATCTTTTCTAATGCCTGTGTATCCTGCCCAAAATAGCCGTAGATCAAACTAACATCAAGTTCATGTCGAACAGTAAGGGATTCTTTAGCCTCATCGTCTAAATCAGTTGCAGACTCTAATCTATCAGCGCTTTCCTTGGCTAATTCCATTAATTCTGCCTTGAGCGAGCCGGTGAATTCATTCAGTAGCTGTTGCTGAATAAAGACTGCGCGCATGGCCCAAAATGAACCTGTCAAAGTCGTGTCCCGGACAGTGTTTAATAAAGTGCGAGCAATTGCTAACAATCCAAGTTGCTGAGAGAGGTGATACACTTCTTCACCATCTACCGAGAGTGATTTGAGGCAGGCTTGGTGAATTTTAGTTTCAAAATCATCATCCTTTTGGCCCAAGAACAACTCTGATACTGAAAAGGAGGGAATAGGGCCAGTCCAGTTAATTTGCACAAAGGTGTTGAGACATGCAATGCCAGTAGCAAGGACATCAAAACAGCTGAATCCATCTTGCAATGAGATGCCAGAAATTTTATTGCTAACCCAGTTTTGAATGTTGCCATCCTCTTTCAAAGCTTGCGAATCTTGTTGACAGTTGTTGAAGACAATACTGTTTTTTATCACATTGGCATAACGACCTTGTTGAATATCTGATACGATGGCTTCTACTTTGTCATTTTTACTGCATTCTTTGAGTTTATTGCCGAGAGTTGTTGCTAATTCTGCTTGCTGGAAGGCCATCTTTTTATGTGATAATAAAACTGCATGCAGATTAGTTAAACTTGAAGGAAAAAATTGATTCAAGAGTATTTCAAGCTGCTCAATAAGCCACAATGATTAGTAAGGCAATGGAACTCTTCAGAAGCACGAGACCCTTTTCAAATCAATCATAAAAGGTAAATAACGTTTTACAGATTTTTTGTAGGCTAGTTCTTCATTGCAATGTATATCGAATGAAGACCAACATATATGGAAGAATGACACCCATGCGGTGTACTGAAAATCATATTAAATATGACAATATCGAGATTTTGCCCCCCTTTTCAACATTTACAATTTAAAAAATGAGCTTACATGTAATAGCCCTCGCCAATGAGTCTATAATATGATAATCCTATGTATCTAGAGTGTTTTAAATATGGTATTAAATAAGTAAGTAATCTCTGATGATGGCAGGATGACGGGATGACGGGATGACGATTGTGTACCTTGAACTTGAGAGGCAGAATGGACATTTAGTGCCTCTGATAAATAATTACGTAAATTTCAGTGAGTGTAGAACCTTGCCATATCTTGATTCAACATTTGAGCTTTTTCATAGCATTTGTTTTATCTTGGTTTTGAGATATGTTTGCCAAGTCGTTCTACATCTTAACTACACAGTTGCTATAATAAAATTTTGCATCTCATCTGTACCATAACTGCGTTCAGCTCGAACACAAAGTCTATGGAAAATGTTTCGTAACACTAAAACGCAAAACAGATCCCATCACCAATACGATACCAAATAAAGACATCCCAAAAAAAACAGAACTGTATATAAAAGGTCTTTCTTTCTATTTCTTCCCCTTTTCCTGCTCTTTCTTCGTTACTGTAAAAGAATGATTAGTTCGTTTCTATCTCGTGAGACCAGTGTTGAGCATCCTGTGCCTCAAATCAGCGGCACCAAAGACCAGCAACAGGCTGTCGATCAAATACATG